CAAACCTACCAACTAATAGCAAATATAAACGAAAACAACACTAATAACAAAAAGCAACTAAATTAAATCCTCTACAAAATCAACAAAGGTCAAAACATCCGGGTCCACTGATAAGAATAACCAACTATGCAACACAATGAACAAACGCCTTTCCAACCATGCCAGCGAACTAATCTTTCCCAAAAACACTGGCCTATTACGCCCCAACCAAATGAGCCACAATACAAGCCTTCTGACGGCGCTTCCTAACCCTTCCCCCAGCCCAACTTAGTAACACCGCCCACATTGTCCTGGATTGAGCCCAAGCCAAACTGAAGATAGCATCCAAAGACGTGACGCAACTGGACAGCAAATCAGCAAGTGATCCACCGTTTCCGCATCCTTACAACACGTGCTACACCATTTTACTAAAATATGCCAATGACCAACCAAATTATCAATCGTCAGAATATGCCCTAATGCTGTTGTCCACACAAAAAAAGTAACTTTGGACGGACAACCCACTACCCAAACAGTCTTCCATGGGAACGGCATCCCATCCCTTCTTGAAAACGAATGGTAAAAAAAAGACACAGAAAATATCCTTTTGGACTTTGACCCATCCCACCTCAAAGAATCCTCCCCAACCCCCCCAAACCGAAGTCCATACAAAAAGCCTAACAAATCCAGCAATTGGCCCACCTCCCAATCCTGCACATCCCGATGCAACCCAACATTCCACACCACTACTTAGCCTTGAATCTGAGCATAAGATGCTACCGTCACGTCTCGATCAATCACAAGACGAAAAATCAACAGGAACATCACCTCCAAAGCCATCTCACCACACCACCTATCCCTCCAAAATTGAACTCGTTCCCCCACCCCAACCCTAAAACTAATCCTTTTCATAAACTCCGCCCATGCGACTATGTAACCTCTCCAATACTCCAATCCCCCTATCCCAAACCATATTTATCCCCCACCCTCCACAACTGCTCCCTCTCTACCCCAAATCGCCATAACCACTTACCCAGAAGGGCCAAATTGAACGAAATCAAACTCCGAATCTCCAAATCCCCCATCATTTTAGGAGAACAAATTTGATCCCATGCGACCAAATGGTAATAAAAAGACTCATAACCACCACCCCATAAGAAATCCCTCTGTAACTTCTTTAACCGCTTAGCAACAGACACAAGGATAACATGAACAGACATAAAATAAGTCGGTATTCTCGAGAGCACACTCTTTATCAGAGCCACTCACCCTCCTTTCGAAAGGTATTGGAGCTTCCAGCCGGCTAGACGACGCTGCACCTTGCCCACCATCCCATCCTATACCCCTTTCGCCTTATATAAAGCACCCAAAGGTAACCCCAAATAAGTTGTGGGCAATGTGGCCACCTTGCACCCCCAAAAATGGCAGCCAATATCGATATACACGCCACTACACCGACCGGAATCATCTCGGATCTCCCCAAATTCATGCGAAACCGTCTCAAAGCATAAAAAAACACACCTCAAATAACCAATCTGAGCCTCCTCCGCTCCACAAAAAATAAGGGCATCATCTGCATAAAACAAATGAAACACCACCAAGCTAGTATTCTGCGCCATCCCACCTTGAAACCTGTCAACAAACCTTTCTGAACCGCCCTGGATAACGAACGGCCCAAAGCCTTCATAATCAAGATAAACAATAACAGAGATAAAGGATCTCCCTGCCACAAACCTTTATAAGTCAGGAAAAAACCTGCTGGCTTCCCATTCACACGGACAGACATTCGAAAAGTAGTTATACAAAACGGAATCCACCTCCTCCACACCATCCCAAACCCCTATCATTTCCAACACCTCTATCAAGAGCCTCCAGTTCACAGCATGAATTCAAGGCACTAGTAAAAGAAGATTGATTCGGAAGGATACCCAATTTTATCATGTCACTGAAAACCTTCAATGCATCTTCGTGCTTACGATTCAAACCATAGCCAGTCAAAAGAGCAGTCCATACAACCACATTTATGTGTAACTTTTCATTAAATACCTTGCAACAATTATCAATTTGCTTACAGTTTGCATAAAACGTGACTAGAGAAGCAGTAACAAATGCATCAAAAGAGTAACCTAGCATGACAACAAGGGCATGAACCTGAACACCTAGTTGTAAATGGGGCACATTTGCACAAGCTGTTATTACAGTAGAAAACGTACTTGAAGTGGGTTCAACACCAGAAACCACCATCTGTTGAAAGAGAAACAAAGCTTCATTGGTCTTCCCATGCTGATCAAGACCACTAATCATTGAAGTCCACGAAATCACATTCCGACAAGGCATTCCCTCAAACAACTTCATAGCATCATCAACTCTGCCATTACAAAAATACCCATAAATCATCGAATTCCAAGCCGCTATATCTCTCATAGGCATCTCACGAAACAAGCACTCAGCCACTTCAATTCTCCCAAACTGCAAGTACCCATTAATCATGGTTGTCCAAGAAACCACATTTCTTTCAGGCATTTCATCAAAAAGTTTCCTGGACATATTCAAACTCCCACAACTCAAACACCCTTTAAGCATTGAATTCCAACAAACTGTGTCTCTAACAGGCATTTTGTAGAACAGTTTCAAGGCATCATCGAGTCTACAGTTTTCAGCGTAACCCGCGATCATCTTAGTGCATAAATGAACACTGGGGAGAGGGATTTTATCGAAAATAAAACGAGCTTCGTCTAAATTTTGGTTCTTTAGGTGATGAGAGAGCACAGAAGTGAAAGAGAAGAAGTTTGATTTGGTATAAATGGAGGCAAGCCCAAGGAAAGAATTAGAGATTTTAGTGATAGTAAAGAAGAAAGATAAAGGAAAATACCTCATCTGTTTTGCAGCTATTTGTTTGCCACCTTTGTTAGGACCATTTGAACCACCATCACCATTTGATTTCCACCTAGAACTGTTGCATATGACATATTTATCAAGATTGGCCTCCTCGTTTCGAAACAACATGCAACTGTTCGGACATGCATCCCACGTCTCATACGTGAAGCCCAAATCCGTTGTGACCTTTTGAGCTTTATAATATGAGTCCGGGAGTTTCACACCCAACGGGAACGCGTCATTCAATAACTCAAGCAACATGTCAACAGACTTGTCTGTCCACTGATTAAGCACTTTCAAATGTAGAAGTCGAACAATGAATGACAAAGATGTGAACTTCTGACAACCCGGATACAATTCACTTTGTGCATCTTGAAGAATTTTGAAATACTTTGCAGTCTCTGCATTTGGACTGAGCTAGGGTTCAGATGCATGGGGATCAGGCCCCTGTGGTTCATCACCCTCAACACTTGTACCGGCATGTGGATTTCCCATAGCCCCTTGTATCATTCCAATCATATCATCCCCAATGTCTAAATTAGCTAATGTTTCATTCTCTCGATTACCATGTAGAGATACGTAAGATTCTCCATGATTAATCCAATGTTTGTATTTTTTAAAAAAATCATTCAAAATCAGATGCTCCCGTACACCCTCTCGTGCAAGATGGTATCAATTCTCACACTTCCTACACGGACAACTAATCATCGAACCTTCAACCATATTGGTGTAGGCAAACACAAGGAATTCATCAATCCCATTAATGTATTCGCTCGAATCGAACCTTCAACCCTATTGGTGTAGGCAAACACAAGGAATTCATCAATCCCATTAATGTATTCGCTCGACATCCTATTTGGCAAATCAATCCAACTCTTATCCATCATCTGTACACATCCACAAAAATATCTCATCAAAGTAACTCTAAATATAATACCTACGTATTCATGTACCATGATACCTATCCGTCCAATTTCTCTCAAATAGTTATGAGAAAAATTATTTAAAAAACTACTTACATATAACATTTTCTTTCCTTTTTTTTTTTCTTTTTTTTTTCATTCATTTTCTTTTTGAGAGGAACAATTGACAAAAAGTGACATATATTACATTATGAGGGTAATTTGGAGAGAATACATAGATATATTTTACTAATGCCAAGTATTCGTGGGTTATTTTTATGTATTTGTATATGATGATGTTGTCTAACAACATAACAGGACAAAAAGGTGTAGCTGAGGGAAAGCATAATAAAACATAAAATTGTTATTAGTGAATGGTATAGACTTTAGGAATCATAGTACGTTGATAGTACACCAACATTAAACAAAAGAATAAATAAAAAAGAGACCATAATAGCCATAACTAGCTAGTGTCTTTTTATGTAAAATTGGGTATGAATTATTGAATAAATACAAATATCAAGTCAACTTCCCCCATGTGGCGATACAATCAAACAAGGGTATCACAAATTTTTCTCACATATTTTAATCTTATATGAATAGTTTTCTTAGCTTAATCTATCAAATTAAGAATCATTTTAGATGTTAAACTTCCACCCATCTTCCCTTTAGAAATATTAAAATGAAATGTGAGCTTGCTTGGAAAATTTTAATTTGGCTAAAGAGTTAATTAAAGTCAACGTATTAGTTTATGTTCTTCATTCACCTGTATTCAAAGATCTTGGACAAATTGTATTAGTTCATCTGATATTAGAGAAAACTTTCTTAGTAATAATAGGCTCACCACATTTTGTATATTTCAGGGAAGGAGCTGGTGATTGCCGTTCAAGTGTAGCTGTTATGTTGGAGCTTGCTCGAGGAATTTCTCAATCGGCTCATGGATTTAAGAATTCCGTCATATTTTATTTAATACTGGTGAAGAGAAAGGCTTAAATGGTGCTCATAGCTTTAGAACTTAGGTTTGGGCCATTTCAGGTGCATCTAATTATTCTTAGTTTGATTTGTTTATTAATTTCCTTTTCTATTTTTTATCCTTAATCTTTTAAGCCTTTAAATATTTTTTAATGAGTTTTTAATATTCCTAGATCTCAACATGTTTAATTATTTAATTATTGAGAATTTGTTTATATTCTAAGTTTTTGCTTCCAAATATTTTGATAGTATCCATGTAGTATTTATCTACTGTTTGATTAATAGGTCAATTATTGGCCTCAGAAGCATAGAAATGCAGCAATTTTGAAAAGCTATTGACATGGCAGTGCATGAAAGATAAAGGCAGGAGTGGTAGTCGTTCAATCACTTGGTAGCAAAATTGGTAATTAACATTGATTGAACCTTGACCTCAAAATTGCACCCATATTTATCTGTCGATGGCTCTTATGGAACTATATTTTGTCACTTCAATGCTATAGTTGTCATGTTTACCTATAGTTTTTATCAGTGCACAATTAGTATATTTTCTTGAACTGTTAAATGCAGTTTCACTTATTTGTATAATTTATCCCAGGTGCAAAAACATTAATCAACCTCATAACTTGTACTGTGTTTGGTCTCTCACTCGCTGTATTATCAATAAAAGACCAACAACATTCATCTATATATATATATATACAGAGAGAATATTTCCTCTCAAATAAGGCAAACTAAGAACATACATTCATCTATATATATATACACAGAGAGAATATTTCCTCTCTCTCCAGGTGCAAAAAATCTAAATGGGAGGCAAAATCTTAGATGAACATACATTCATCTATATATATATACAGAGAGAGAGAGAGAGAAAGAGAGAGAGAGAGAGAGAGAGAGAGAGAGAGCATACCCAGAGAGAGCCGTTTTCGTCGCCGGACCAACCAGAGCCGTTGTCGTCGCCGCCGCACCGCCGCACCACCGCTACAGAGAGAACGGCACCACCGCTACAGAGAGAACGGCCTTCGTAGCTCGTTTGAGGAATTTGGGGGAAAAAAAATGTTTGGAAGATTTAGGGATTTGGCTGAAATCATCGAGCGGCAGGGAAGGGCGGGGGTAATTTTTTTATTTTTTTTATTTTTTGCGACAGTTCGTTTTACACCGTCGCCGATGGTGACTAATTACATCATAAAACGGCGCCGTTTTAATAAGACCCTTTTTGCGACGGAAGTTGCCGTCGCAAATGGCCACTGTTTGCGACAGCAAACATATGCCGTCTCAAAACTAATATTTTTTGCGACGGTAAAAAAACGCCGTCACTAATAATTCGGCATTTAATAACTATCCGCTTGGTTTTATTGCCGACGGGACAAACGCCGTTGCTAACGCCTTTATTTGCGACGGTATAAGTTGCCGTCGCAAAAACCCATTTTTTGCGACGGGAGGCGCGCCGTCGCTATTGCTTCCGTGTTGTTTGACCCCTTTTCTTGTAGTGGTAGCTCCACGGGCAAGAGTGCTTTTGAGATAGTGAATGGCCAGCAGCCACTGTTGCCCTACACAATGGATGGACCTTATGAAGGAAAGTCTCCCAGGGCTTACCAATTTGCTAAGGAATGGAAGAGAAACCATGACATTACTCGTGCCTATCTTGAGAAAACAGCAAATAAAATGAAGAAATGGGTTGATGAAAAGAGGAGGCCACTTGAATTTAGAGCTGGGGATCAAGTTCTTGTCAAACTCAACCCTGAGCAATGCAAGTTCATGAGGGGAAGAGACAGAAGGCTAGTCCGCAAGTATGAGGGACCGGTAACCATTCTGAAGAGAATTAGCAAGTGCGCTTACAAGATTGATGCTCCATCTTGGTTGAAAGTGCATCCGGTTTTCCATGTGAGTTATTTGAAGCCTTACTATCTAGACAAGGAAGATCCAACCCGAAATGAGCAGAAACGCCAAACCATCACAGCCAAAGCAGGAAAAAGGTCTATTGAATCTATCTTGGCCGATCGGGTAAAAATGGTTTCCAAGAAGAAACAAAGGCAATACTTGGTGAAATGGAAAGGCCTTAGAGATGAAGAAATTAGCTGGGAACGGGAGACAGACTTGTCGGCTTTTCAAGACGAGATTGATGCTTATTGGGCCAAGTCGTTGAAGGCATCGACCGTTCAAGTGGGGGAGACTGTCAAGGTGCATCTATCCAAGGGTCAACACCTTGATGCCACACACATTTGTGCCCTTTGGAGAGCCAAAAACATGCCTAAGAAGTTGTTGGTGCAAGTGCAAGCAAAGGCCCAAGGCATAGTGCAAGATAGTCCAGGACATGCCATGAAGCAAACTAGCCACCAAGTAACAACTTTAGGCCAACTTTTAGAGGATCAAATGTAATCTTTTTGCCTTGAAAATTTTTATGTAAATACCTTAGTATTAAAGGTGTTTTGGGACCAAGAGTTGTAATTTTTCTATTTTTGTAGAATTTTTAAAAATCCATTATGACTCCTTAAACATAGTGGATGTTTCCTCCTGCCAGTTAGGAAAAGGCTTAACAACCTATAAATAAGGAGGGGGTACCCAAGTGTTGAACCAGACCACTTGTGCCTTTAATGTACCTCAACCTAGCTTGTTGTAAGGCAACTTTTGTAGCATTTTTAGTGCATTTTTCAACTCTTGTAATGCCTTCTTTTGAGTAATGAAAAGTTTATTTCGCCTTTAAATTGTGCAAAGCCTTTCAATTGTTGCTTACTTTAATTTTAGCTTGTGGATTGCTATTTTGTGGCTTGTCTCCAATCTTGTGGCTCATCAACTTAACTAATATTGTGTTTGTTTGTCTTTGCAAACCTTTTGAGCATCATTGGCGGGCTAGTGAAGAGAGTTAATTAGCGCTACACACACTTGCATATCTTTGTCAAGGCTTCCGCATTGCCAGTGTGTGACACTATGCCAAGTTGATAGTCAACCTGTATTGTCTATGAAACTATCTTTGAACTTTAGAAGAGCTAGTCTCTCTTCTTCTATGCAACCAATGGTTGAAGCATTGCTCAAACAGGACAATGTTGTTTCATTGAAAAGCAAAACAACTAAAAAGATTCCAATAGTGGAGAATTTCCTCATATTGAACTTTAGAGA